CTCAATTTATACCTTATTGCAAAAGAAACTTAAAACGGATTTAAATGGTATAAAACAAATTACAGAAAAATTTAAAAACAATAGAATAAAGTATTATAAAATTTGTAGAGGACCGTTAATTTTCTAAAATCAGAAATCACCATAATCACTAAGGAGCTACAAACACATTGAAAATACATTATAAGACACCAACGCAAATTAAAATTAAAAAGTAAAAGCACCTTCTGGAAATGGGTAAATGGATGTTTTTATTTGATAAAGTCCATAAAAACTGACTGAAAAAATAAGGATAGTAATAGATAAAAAGGGTAAACTTAGTAGTGACTGAGTTAAAGACAATAGCACCATTAAGATGAAAACGTCCACTCTCACCAGTATTCAATATAATGACATGAAAACCATCCAGTGTACCAAGAAATTATAAAATTTATTAGGGATGATAATGGCATTAAAGTTATGTAAGGGAAAAAAATGTCCATATATTTTAGAACTATATACTGAGATTATGCAAAGGTGAAATGACATGAAGTCTTGGATTTACTTGAAATAGTTAAACAACCATGGTAAAGCACTGGCCTCCTGGCTGCTCCTTGAACACAGCCAATGCACACCTGCTTCGGGGCCCTTGAATGTCTGGCTTCCTCCCTCTGGAATGTTCTTCCTTCCAGTTACCACATATAATGATTTCCTGCTATACTTCTTCAAGTTTCTGCCAAAATGTCACCTAATTGGAAAAGTTTCTCTTACCCCATCCTATAAAATAGCACCCTCTATCCCCTTTCTCTACTTTTTCTTTTTAGCACTTACTATTACATGACATATATTCATTTATTTTTGTATCTCTCTCAGCATTGGAGGGTAAGCTCTGGGAATAGAGATTTTGCATGTTCTATTCACTGCTGTAACATCAGTGTTGAGAATAGTGCCGGGCATACAACAGATATTCAATAAACATATACTGAATGAATGAATGAATGTGCTGTCCTGTTTAAACTCCTGCATACCAATTCTGTTGATCACTGCCAGCTCTAAGTTCTCAATGGAGGCACAGAGCCTTTATTTCCAACATTCTATCTAAAGTTAATGACAGGCACACTCAAATCTCCCTCTATGACATCTATACAGATCAATTTCTCTTCTATATCCTAATCCCTCATTTTTTCTGAGCTCCCTACTTTAACCTCTCTTATGATGGTTCTACTTTATAGAAGTTATATATAGACGTGTTGTAGTGCCCCTTTTAAGCTATACATTCTGAAATCGCTTATTCCTTTTTTTAATCTCTGCAGTATCTAGCAGAGTACCTCACACATTCGAAAATCAGTAAATGTTTGTTATAAGTATGAATGAAGCAATGACTATATGAGCTACTTTATCTAAAACACCCTAAAGAAAATAAATGTTTGGCAATACAGAATAAAAATATATTTCAGAAGAGAGTGGTGCTTTTTTTAAGATTAAATACAAAAGAGGATGAGAAGTGATGAGGAATCAGATCCAAAATATGGATAGAAAGGAATATCATTCGGGTAGAGGAGGTCACTGGCAGGTTAGAACTGGGCAAGAATAAGAGGAATTAGAAAGAAGTATAAGAGGAGAAAAGCAGGTAGAGTGTATTAAGGGGAAAAGGTAAGGTCATTTGAAAGCACATGCTGAAAAGGCTTACTTGTGTACAAGGGGCCTAAAGCTTTTACGGGGAGATTCCCAGATAGCACCTCAAAGGTGCAGGCTTTCCACTGACCAACTGGGTCATTACCTGCCACACCTCACTTACCTGGCCACTGGTCTCTTGTTAGTTCTCTGTCAATCAACCAGGGCTCTTTCCCCTGCTCCAAGAAGGAGATCACATCTGGTTTAGAAACAGAATGTCCTGCTTACAAAAGAAGTAACGAGAAAAGTTTATGATGAGAATATCCCAGGATTCAAATTTAGTCCCTTCATTAAGAAAGAGTCAAAGAAAGGTATATCAGATTTATGAAACATAACAGAGGACTTGAAACTTCCCCCATAACTCAACACAGCTTTTTTCTAATGCTACAATATTAAAAACATTCCTCTAAGCACAGAATGTAGAAATACCTACTTGAAAGGTGGGTATTTCACATGGGACAAAGGAGAACTTCTAAGGGCAGAATCTGAATTATTATGGACAGACGTCCTTACCCATTGAAACCAGGTGGCTGTAATTCTCCAACATCACATCTCTGTATAAATCTCTCTGATCATCATTCAGGCATTCCCACTCCTCCTGAGAGAAGTCTATGGACACATCATTGAACACCACTGACTCCTGGAACAACAACCATGTATATGACTTGATTAATAAAAAGAAGTGTTTTTTTTTCTTTTCTTTTTTTTTTGTGAAGGAAAGAGAGAAGAAAAGAATGAAGGTAGAAGTGAAAAACAGCAAGCATATAGAATAGGGCTGGATGCTTGGGATGCAAGTAGAGGACTGTAAACATATAAGCTGGACTGAATCTTGTGTTTCCATGTTCATTCTGTCTCCCCCAGATAAAACTGGGAAAGTACAAAATCCTGCTATGAGGACTATCCCAATTAAATGAAATAATTATACAAATGGCTAGCATAATACTTGCCATACAATAAGTCATCAACACATGTGAGCCTCTTTCTCTCTCTTCTTTTCCCAAATAGCTAAGAGTAAAATTTCAGAATAAGGGATAAAGAGAAGACATTATAAGTACCCAGACAGCAGATCATATAAAAGACATCAAGAGTCAGACAGGCAATGAGGTTCTCAAGAACACTACTAAAAACGAGAAATGATAAGAACAATTCTTCAATATGGCTAATGGAGAAAAGAAATTCTGACCTAGATTCCATAACTCAACTATCATTCTGTTGTGAGGGTTGAAAAAAGACATTTCTAGGGGCACCTGGGTGGCTCAGTCATTAAGTGTCTGCCTTCAGCTCAGGTCATGATCCCGGGGTCCTGGGATTGAGCCCCGCATCGGGCTCCCTGCTTAGTGGGAAGCCTGCTTCTCCCTCTCCCACTCCCCCTGCTTGTGTTTCCTCTCTTGCTGTCTCTCTTTCTGTCAAATGAATCAATAAAATCTTAAAAAAAAAGACATTTCTAGATATAAAAGGACTCCAGCACAATTTCTTAGAAGCTACCAGAAGATGTGTTCCACCCAAAGGGAGGGAGTAAACCAAAAAAGAGGAAGACGCAGTATTCAAGAAATAGGTGAATTAACCACAGGAGAACAGTGAAAGGAAATCTCAGGTAAACAAAAAAGGGGAAATCTTGGGAAAGCTACGCAGCAGGCCCAGAGAGTAACCAGACCGGGTGGGAGCAGGAAAAAGGGAAAATGGGGATGGCAGTCTCCACACTCAGAACAAACTGATGTGTCTGACCAGAGGGAAAACATGGACAACTAAGCAAATGGGGAAAAAAAGCAATTAACCCCGGGAAAAATGAAAGGTTGTAATAGCACAGAGGTATGAGCTGGCTCAGCAGTGAGCAACATTTGCAGTCATACTATTCTGTATACTACTGATTTGACAAAAAGTATAATTAATAACAGAATCAGATGAAATGGTGCAATACAAGAGTACAATGTCCCTTCTACTCTGTAGTAAGTCAAGAGAGTAAAACTGATTCATCAAAAGATAGCAATTAAACCATATTCAAGAGTTGAGTCACCTTTTAGGAGTGGGACTGGTGATGGGGTAAGATTTGAATAGCACTACTTCACTTGTAAAATGTGTAAAATGACTTTAAAAACTATTTTATCTTGGAAAATTAAACTTGCATTAAATTCAAGACTGATCCTTTCTCATCTCACACTATTATACAATAAAAGTTAATTCCTTGTTACAACAAATTCTTTTCATAAGCATATTTTTTCACTGAATAATATTCTACTATATGGATATAAAACAACTTTTCTTTGGTTTTCAGACACTGAGGTTGAAGGTTATTTTTAAAGAACTCCCCAGTATTGGCCCCGTCTTATAACTGCCCACTGCTCAACTGTAAATTCCGTTAGTTCCTGCGCTATAGGAAAGTGATGGAAGATGATCCAGATTCACACAACAGCATTACTAAAGTCTATTTATCATGGATGATCTGGTGAGGACAGCTTTCTACTAACCAGGAATCATATCCCCAAACCTGAAAGGCTCATACACCAGGAGATTTTCCCATGTATTAAGACTGAAATCAAGCAAAAACCATTCGTTGTATTTTCTTCTTTGAAAACCTAGGTCTGTGATGATCAGGGCTTTTCCCTATGAGTGCCCCTAATTACTTATCTCCGTCCCATCCAATCACTGTCCAAGCAAATTAGATTCATTAACAAATGGGGAGCACATTTCTGTTCTATCAAGATTTCTGGCAGAAGTCTAAGACAGAAGATGCTGAAGGACTTACTAAATGAGTCTGTAAACACTGGTTAAAAGAATAGGGAGCTGGGGAAGGTCTTGGGGTTGTTTATGAAGAAATGGGGATCAGGTTCCTGAATGGGGACCATATTAACTAGGGTAAAATTTTCTTTTCCAAACCTGGTCTCAGTCAGACCATTTTTACATTATGTAATTAACAATCTCTTTGTAGGAACAAATAAGGATTCTTGATGGAATCCATAAGTGATTTTCTGATGGATTTTAATCTGATTAAAGCATCTTCAGAGAAACTTGTTATTGAACCACTTGGCCTTCTGTTACCTGTAATTTAAGAGTGTAAAAATCTTTAACCAGACTTTATTTCTTTTTTCCAACAATGGTTATGGAACCAGTTCTTTTTTCTATAAATAATTCCACCAAGACAGACATTCTTTTAATTGACTTACTGGAGACCTTTTTCTTTATAGCAAGCATAAGAGAACTTTGACATTTACACTGCTTTTAACGAAACCGTTTGAAAGTTTGTTGTTGTTGTTGTTTTTTAACACCAAAAATATCATGATGAGGAAAGCAAATGTTTACATGTACTAGGGGTAAAAATGATTCTATTTGAGCAAAAGGAAACTGCATCTCACCTGAGCCATGGTTTTGGTATTTGCAGAAAAAGACCAGTCCTCCTCTGGGCTCCTCTTGGAAAAGGGCAAAACTGGGGAAGACAAAAGAAGCTACATAAGATTCCACTTGCCTCATAGCTCCCAGAATGATCATTACCCTCTGTTCACCCCATACAAACACTTGAGGGTACCAATGACAAAAATGGGCAAATCTTTCATTATCCCCGACTCCAGAGACCTCAGTCTTTGACTAGAGTAGGATAGATTTCAACAATCAGATATGGCTTGGAGAATATAGTATATATACACACAAAGATACAATTTTTTTTTACACAAATGATGGCATATTATACACACTGTTATACATACTGCTATTTTTAATGTATCTTGAACTGGATCCCAACTAGTACATACAGAGCTATGTAATTCCCTTAGCTACATTTATTTCATTAAATGGATACACTTTATTTAACCAACCTGTTGCCCATGACCATTTGGGCTATTTCCTGTCTTTCACTATAACAAACAATGCTGTAATAAATATCCTTATATGTATATCATTTTACTTTTATATGAATTCTGAATAACTCCTAAAAGTTGTTCAAATACATTTTAGTTTGGGTGTACATTTGTCAAAACAGTTTTTAATGATCTTGGATTGTACAATCAGGTCCCAGGTCCTGACCAAGAAACAACTGGTTAGGGGCGCCTGGGTGGCTCAGTCATTAACCATCTGCCTTCGGCTCAGGTCATGATCCCAGGGTCCTGGGATCAAGCCCCGTGTCAGGCTCCCTGCTCCACAGGAAGCCTGCTTCTCCCTCTCCCACCCCCCCTGCTTGTGTTCCTGCTTTCGCTATGTCTCTCTGTCCAATAAATAAATAAAATCTTAAAAAAAAACAACAAAAGAAACAACTGGTTGATGAACCAGATTCTTTAATCTTGCCCAGTTTGAGAAGACTTTTTGGGGTTAGTGAATTTTATCTTAAGAAAAGTGAAATCCAGAAAAGGAAACAAAGCAATATTACCAAAACTTTAGGAAGATACTTAAATTAACAACAGGAATGAATTAAAAACTGTAGAAATGGACTAAATCCTTATCACTGATGCTTTAGAATGCTTTTACTTGTAAGTGTAGTAATAAAATTTGTAATAATTGTATATATTTTGTGTGCTTAAGATGTTTAAAATGTCCAAAAGAATGTTATACTAAAATACTAACAAAAGTCTAAATTGTTTAAGGGGAGTAAATGAATTTGAGACAAAGGTTGAAATGTTTAATGAAATATGGGTTTTTTTGTTAGATAATATTAGATATAGGAATATAATAAAGAGAGCATTATAAAAGTATAAAGGGCAGTGAGCATTCCTAGTACAAAGCTCCTTGGTCATTAAATAATTTATCAGTAGGGCGCCTGGGTGGCTCAGATGGTTAAGCATCTGCCTTCGGCTCAGGTCATGATCCCAGGGTCCTGGGATCGAGTCCCGCATCAGGCTCCCTGCTCGGAAAGGGGCCTGCTTCTTCCTCTCCTTCTGCTGTTCCCTCTGCTTGTGCTCTTTCGCTCTCTCTGTCAAATAAATAAATAAAATCTTTAAAAATAAATAAATAAATAAATAAATAAATAATTTATCAGTAATTGCATGTAGGGCACCTGGGTGGCTTAGTTGGTTAAGCCTGCCTTAGGCTCAGGTCATGATCCTAGAGTCCTGGGATCAAGTCACGCATCAGGCTCCCTGCTTGGCGGGGAATCTGCTTCTCCCTCCTGCAGCCCCTCCCCAGTGCTTGTGCTCTCTCTCTCTCAAATAAATAAAATCTTAAAAAAAAATAATTGCATGTAAAACTGGCCACCCAGGAAGTAGAAACTTGTTATCAATTATTTAATGGATACTTCTACCCCCAAGCACTCACCCCCAGGGATATATATATTTCAGGAAACGAAGTAATCTACAAATGTCTCTTCTTTAAAATCTGAAAGCACTCCTTTAATATTTTTATTATTATTACTATTTATTAAGCTCTTAGTATTTTTTTCATTATAAACCAACATAATCTATTATGTGGCAGGCATTGTGCTAGATTCTAAAGAATCAGTAATAATCTAGGAAGACTTGGAAACAGGGCTTCTTCTCCCATACTTCTCACTTTAAGTCTCCCTTTCTGGTCTCTCGTAATGGCCTTTCCTGGTTAAAGGGGCATCCTCAAGTGCGGCACCTTCCAGATAGAAAGGGCAAGAAACATTCTTACTTCAACAGCTCCATACTGTTTGTTACATTCCCAACCCTCTTCATGTTTGCTCCTAGAGTATATTCTCTGGCTGAATTCTTGCCATCTGGGGAATCTGCTCCTCCCTTTTAAAGCCAATGATTTCTGGGGCAAAGACTGTAGTATACTTGCAAAATAACCACACCTTGGGCAGGAGCACTGCCAAAAGATACCACTACAGACAAGAGAGTCCTTTGAAATCTAGTTAATAAAATTTTTGAGAATTTTGCACTCTTCTAAAGAATAAGCCATTCTTTTAATAAAAATATAATGTCTGAATTATTTCCAAAATTATCCTAAAAATTTCCTGTATGCTGAGAATTGTATTTGTTAGTTAACAAAAACCTGAAAAGCACTAATTTTTCTTTATAATGAGAAGGCTAGATGTAGGTAGTGGTTGCCCTTGGCCTCCATGGTTGTTTTAGACACAATATCTATCACTCAACTAAAAATTGCTAGACATGCTTGGAGAGAAAACCAGAAAACAGAAGCAGTACTATGGATGATTCAGATACTAGAACTGGCAAACAATTTAAAATAGCTATAATTAAAATGTTAAAAACTAAAAAATATAGGCAAATGGATAAGATGAAGAAATTAAACAGAATTGAAATCTATAAAAAAGAATCAAATAGACAACCTAGATCAGTAAATTAAGAAATTAGGAAGTTGGGGCACCTGGCTGCCTCAAGCAGAAGAGCATGCGACTCTTGATCTTGGGGTCGTGAGTTTGAGCCCCATATTGGGTGTAGAGATTACTAAAAAAATAAAATAAAATAGGGATGCCTGTGTGGCTCAGTCAGTTAAGTGTCTGCCTTCAGCTCAGGTCATGATTCCAGGGTCCTGGATTCGAGTCCCACATCAGGCTCCTTGTTCAGCAGGGAGCCTGCTTCTCCCTCTGCCTGCTGCTCCCCCTGCTTGTGCTCTCTCTTCCTCTCTCTCTACCAAATAAAGAAAATCTTTAAAAAAATAATAAAATATAAACTTAAAAAAAAATTAAGAAGTCATTGTATGGTTTTAACATAAGACCAGACAAGCAGAGGATAGGAATACTGAACTCAAAGACAAGTCAAAAACAAAAAAAAGCCCCACATGAAGTGCAGAGGAAAAACAGAACAGAAACGGGTGCCTGGGTGACTCGGTTAAGCGACTGCCTTTGGCTCAGGTCATGATCCTAGAGTCCTGGGATCGAGTCCCGCATCAGGCTCCCTGCTCAATGGGGGAGTCTGCTTCACCCTCTGACTGTCTCCCCTCTCATGCTCTTTCTCACTCTCTCTCTAAAATAAATAAAATAAAAAAAAAATAGAACAGAAAGAACAGAAGTGAGTATAAGACAAAAGGGACACAGTCAAAAGATTTACCATATATGTAAGTGGCGCCTCTGAAGAAGAAAAGAGATGGGAGAATAATTAATATCTGAACTGATTAACTGATAAAAAGCCTCAACAAAATTTTCAAGAAGCTCAGCAAACCTGAATAAAAAATAAAAAGGAAAACACACAAAACAAAAAGCAAAGCCACAGAGAAAAAAAGGCTTGACAGTACCCAGAAAAGACACATTAATGAATAAGAAAGGGATAACACAAACAAAATCAGGAATGAAAAAGGGAACATCATTATAGACACCATAGACATTAAAAACATAGTAAGAGAATACTAATAACTTTATGCTATTAAATTTGGAAACTTAGATGAAACAGATTTTAAAAAACATGCCAAAATGGACAAAACAAACAAAAAACCTGAAACATCTGAAGAGGTGAATCGATTCCATAGTTTAAAAATCTCCAGGGTGCCTGGGTGGCTCAGTCAGTTAGGCATTTGACTCTTGGTTTCAGCTCAGGTCATGATCTCAAGGTCCTGAGACCGAGCTCCAGTGTTGGGCTCTGTGCTCAGCATGGAGTCTGCTTGGGATTCTTTCCCCCTCCTCACCCTCCCCCCTCTGCTCATCCCTCTGCTTAAGCCTCTCTAAATAAATAAAATAAAAATCTTCCTATCAAGAAAATTTCAGGCCCAGAGAGCTTCATCAGTGAATTCTTCCAAATTTAAGGAAAACCTTTAGTCTTAAATGTAGTGAATAGAAAAACACAGGGAATTCTTTCTAACTCATTTTATGAGCTAATATAAGCCTGATGCCAAAACGAAGATATTAAAAGAAAAGAAAATTATGGGCCAATATTTCTCATGAACATAAATGCAGAAATTCTATAAAGTATTAGCAGATCTAACCCAGTCGAATTCTTAAAAAGTTTAATACATTATGGAAAGTAGGGTTTACTTCAGGAACGAAAGGTTGGTTCAAGATATGAAAATTAAGATAATGTACCACGTTGATGATAACAGTAAAAAACATATGATCCTCTTGATAGAGAAAATGCATTTGCCAAACCCAGACCTCATTAATGTAAAAATCTTAGCAAATGAGAAAGAGAACTTCCTCAACTTGATAAATAGCATATATAGTAGGTATTTTGTAGATGCTAGATACAAGGACAATATACAAAAAACAACTGTACTTCTAGCAACGGACAACTGGAAAATGAAAAAAAATTTAAAACCATGTACAGTTTCAACAATAAATGTCAAATATCCAGGTACAAATCTAACAAAAGATGTGCCCTGAAAACTACAACAAAGTGTTGAGAGAAATTAAAGATCTTAACAAATGTAGGCATACACCACATTTATTTATTTATTTATTTATTTATTTTTAAGAGATTTTTTTTATTTATTTATTTGAGAGAGAGAGAAACAGCATGAGAGGGGAGAAGGTCAGAGGGAGAAGCAGGCTCCCCGCTGAGCCGGGAGCCCGATACGGGACTCGA